AGATTATTATCTCAGTGTATGGAGTATTTTGATCTGAGGTGCCAATTATTAGATGATCTGACAAGTAAGTAAATGTCTAACTTTGATTTATGTAGGTGGAGGGGTTAAGAAGGACTAGAAAAGACAGACATTTCTAAATCTGACTTAATATATCTCAGCTATAAATAACATTATAATTATTGTTTGAAGTCGAATTTTATTTTCTTGAAAATAGCATGTAAACCCATGTATCAGTTATTGCTTCTCCTATTACACACCCAGCCATTAATATGTTGAAAAGATTTGTTGATTTTAAAAATTGTCAAAGGCTAATATTTTAATTACACTGATGCAGAACTATTAGGAAGAATCTTTCTCTCCATTACAGCCAATTCTGACAATTTTAAAAGTTTGAAGGAGATGGAATCTGTTGAGCTACGTTGATAGTAATAGAAGTAAATGATAGAATTCAGTTGATTGTTTACCGTTAGGTGATTGCAGTATCGTTGTTAGAAATTCTTTTGTTCGAGTGTTTTAAGATGTTAGTCATCTGCGCTTATTCTTATATAATACAAATGTATATTGGAATGCTCTGTGTAAATTTTAGTTGTTCAAATGAAGAGTTTGTTAGTTTATTCCTCACCCTTTATGCAAAGATCATGGGAAAGATTTGCTTCAGCTTACAGGGAATAAATAAAGTAAAAGTCAGGACTGACAAAAACATTAATTCGAAAAGAACGTCAAGGCCAAGAGGTAAAAAAAAAATTGTGCCCGCTGTCCAGTCCCACACGTCAGAATTGGGTTGTGAGTTTCCTGGAAGACAGAGGTAAACAGGAAACAGCATTTGTTTGGTTGTCCTCAGTACCCTAGAAGAAGAAACAGAATTGTTTCTCAAAAGAAACAAATCTTTTTCCCAGCACTTAAACCAAAAGGAAACTTCATACAAAGGTCTTCATGCAATGGACATGTAAAGACAGAGTGACTAAGAAACCCCAGCAACATCGCTAAGGCAGGTGCCTCTATGGATTTCCTAAGTCTCTCGAGAATCGAGGACCCGGTACTCTGAGCAGTGCCGTGAAATTGGTTTCGTTGGCGCCTGAGTTGATGTAGTAAGAGTATACATCTTGATTCAGGGGTAAGACCTGTACTATCTAGGAAGTGGGTGGGCTGCATGTCCATCTCACAATCTTAGCCTAGTACCACGGTTTTCAACCAGGCTTTCAGTGTAAGCAGCCAGCAAAGGTTTGCTCTCTGGCTTGGTTGTGGCGAGGGTATTCTGCTTCGCTTCTTGAGAACTGGTCTCATGAGCTGGCTGTACACACAACCTCAGAATGCAGGAACACGGTGTTAGTGTAGCCTTGCTGTGTCGCTGAGTCACCTATGAGATTCAGGATCCCTTATTGGGATGTCGAGGGCAGAGTGGGAATATGTCTTGGAACAAGCAATATTTGCCATTTTTGGAGTATTTTCTGTATGCCAGTGCCAGTACTAGCCACTTTATACACAGCACTCTGCAGTGTAGGTGTTAGCCTCATGTTGTTAATAAGGAAACCCTGAAGATCCCTTCTCCCGTCCCCACCTGGGGCCCTGCTTGCCTGTGGCTGTAGTGCAGTGGAAAGAGAGCACAATCTCTGCTCTCCTCCCTAATCCTAACTTCCAACTTGGAATCATGTTTTAAATCCTTGTTTGGAGGGGAAAATGAAATACGTAATACGAAAGAACAGAGTGGCTCTCCGGAGTCTGGCTCACTGTCTGGAAACTCGGACTCTGCCGCTGTGCTGTGGCCCCCTCTCCTTTGCAGAGCTCCCGTCCCTTGGCAGAGGTGACACTGTAGAAGCATCGGCTCTCCGCTCACCCCTCAGTCCGTTCCTTCTCTAGAAGGATTTGTTCCCTGGCATGTCTGCTATGACCCACCAAACAGGAGCTTCTCCAGAACAAGAATTGTCCCCTCCATCTTACATCCCCAGGACCTAGCACCGTGGCGCACAGAGGAGACGCTCCTAATGTTTGCTGTACGACTGAGAGAGCTCAGGAGGGAGGGCGCGGGTCTGCGGGCGCCTTCAGAGTCCTGTGGGCGCCTCCGTTCACCCATGACAGGTTTTTTAATCTGTGAATTGAAAGATGGAGACTTGTCTTTGCTGACTTGAATTCAGGATTTTAACTCCAAGGAAAGAAATCCTTCTTTCTTCAAAATGTTTATGTTTGTTTTTCCTTCTTAGCTTCAGAAATGGAGCAGTTAAGAATCAGCCCAGCCACCATGCTCGAAGATGAGATTACTTGGCTGGATAACTTTGAACCTAATCGCACAGCTGAATGTGAGACCAGTGAAGCCGACAACATTTTATTGGCAGGACACTTACGGCTCATTAAGACCCTTCTTTCACTCTGTGGGGCAGAAAAGGAAATGCTTGGTAATTATTACTTCATCTTATGTGACAGAATACCTCAGTTCTCAGTTACTGCCGTAGCGTTACATGTAATTGGGAAAATAAGATAGATGCTAAGTGTTCCATAGAAAATTGACCCTTCAGGCAATAAGAGATTGGAATTTTAGTGGCTAACAAATTTAAGGTGAATTTTATATGTGTCATTAAACCCTATAGAGAATTTTAAAGTGTTCAAAATAGTTGGATCACGTAACTTTTTCATACCAACTAAAAATTATAAATCAAAGTAGGTTTTTGTCTTTTTGCTGTTACATACTTTATAAAATATAATCCGTTATATGTCTTACCTCTTTTAAAGATAATTCTTGTCTCAAGAAGCAGCCCCCAACCAACACCCCTGGATGGTGGGGCACACATGTAATTTATAAAAGCGTATTCAGTATTACAAGTTATATTCAGAAAACAGATCAAAATGTTAGTTATCACTTTTATTGTACAAACCAAGCTGTATAAAAATCTTCTTGGCTACTGGGGATACATAGAAAAGAGTGATTCTATACCAGGGTGAGATGGGCACGTCATTTTTATCTAAAGATTTTTGAAGTTTTAAAAAACTTTTATGTGGACTCCCCTGTGCCCGGAGTAAAAGTTAATTATTCACTCAAACCATCTGCCTTGTGATGTTACTGGCATTAGTGTCTCTTAAGTGAAAGCTTAACTTCTTTCACTCTGTTGTAAGCTCGTAGGGGAGGAACCTTCACTTGTCTATCTTTGAATCCTGTCCCCCAACTCTCCCACCCATCCCCACCCCTCTGCCCCACAGAGCTTTGCCACATATTGTAAGTGTTCAAAAAATGAACATTGAGACATCGAGTTAAATTGAATGCCCTGCCATGGGATGGCCTTAGATGCTCTGATAGGAAAGTGCAAGACAGAATCTTTGAATTAAAATATATGTTCATCCTCAACATGAATATTATGCTCTATTCCAGGTTCATCACTCATTAAACCATTGTTAGATGACTTCCTTTTCCGAGCTTCTAGAATTATTTTAAATAGTCATTCTCCAGCTGGCAGTGCCGCCATCAGTCAACAGGACTTTCATCCAAAGTATGGAAAATGCACGTTGTGTTCAGTTTTGGTAAAAATTCTAATTCGAAACTTTAGTCCAGAAAGATTTTCTTAACTTGGAGTTTGTCTTCCATCTTGTGAGTGTGTGTAGCTTGTAAGATATTATCTGCCATATAAAGAATGCATGTGAGGGGGCTTAGGATAAAGCCTGCCTGGCACATAGCGCAGGTGTGCTGGTACCATTATTATCATCCAGATGGAAGAGTAAGTAATAATGTGGTTAACTTGGTCAGTAACAAATTCCAGGAGAAGCTGAGGTTGTAAGAATTCCTTTCAAAGTAACAGAAAGTAGGCTTGAGTCTTGAGGGTTTCTGCTGGGAGAAGAGCATAGGTGCGTTAGTACATGAACCTTGTGATTTGCTGAGTATTGACTGTGTCCTGATAATTACAACTGCTAGTGACTTATTACGGTGATAATTTTAGAATCAAATTTTATACCAGTTTTTATGGGTAGAAATTTGAAAGATCCTTTTGTAATGTTGACCCTACGTGGGTGATGTTTCTCTTTGAGATAGGAGGAGGCAGCTACAAGCTGCCGTCTTATTTACTCTGAATCTAATTTACTTTGTTCTTTTCTCCTGAAAACCAGTTAATTGAGTAATCCTAAAGAAACTGAGGGTTTGGTATTTAACCAGAGAAAAAAATTCCTGTACAGTTTCAGTGGTTATTGAAATGGGCAAGGCATAATAATAAGCATTATATTAATGGACTCTTAGAGCTATCTTATGTATGAATATTTCTCTATCTAGAGATTCCCTATTAGCAAGATCTGTTTTAGGTAATAAACAACCTTCATCAAAACTCTTTGGGTCTCCTTCAAACTGTGACTTCCATCCCCTCCCCTGTCCTAGTCTTGTTCTGGAAGATTGAGTGCTAACTCCGTGGGGGCTCCTCTATTAGAGCAATAGAAATACATGAGTGTTTCAGTTTTCAGTGAACAGAGAAAATAAATCTTCAGCAGTTTTACTGAAATCGTTTTTCACGAATCCTTCCAGTTGTATGTATTAAAAGTAGTACCTCCACCAACAGGTAGTTGTGTTTTTTCTAATCACATACAGTGCCTTGACTAGAAAAGGAAACACTTGTTTCGTCCCTCCCCAGTGCACTGAATGATACTCGTTTATCACAGTGACTCACAGCCTTTTCCCACCAAAACCCTAAAGCCAGAAAGAGATTTAAAGTACACAGAAGCTCTTTTCACAAGGAATGCTATTCTTATCTGACACCAACAAAAGGACTTCTTACCTGTATATACGGTAACTTCTGTTCATTCTTTACCTGTCCTTTGCAACCCAGAAACACAGGTAAGAAGCAAAGGACAGTGCCAGCTCCACACAGCCCTTGTCCTCAGTGCCTGATGTGGGGCTGATCTCCAAGCCCCTCAGCCCCCTCTTGAACACATACCCTACGCTCCACTCCTTAAGTGTCTCTCAGAGGTTGGATGTCCTCTTTTCTGTGTATCCTTCCTAACCTGTGATGTCCTAAGAAATGCAAGGATGGCTTAAGTGACAGTGAGAAATTACTGTCCTTCCCCAAAATGATTTCTACTAAAGGTGAGCCATCAAGAAGCCTTTGGTTTCCTGCAGAATGCTTGCTGGTTATCTGTCATTGTCATTTTTTAAAAATTGACGTGACAAAAAACTATGTATTTCTGTCTCCATTTTTCCAGCAAAGTAGAAAGTTGATTACTATCCTTGAAGAATTCTTTATCTGCAGATGCATATAAAGTGTTTTTGGGCGTCTTTTCTGGTTTGTGTAGCTTTCTGCCATGTAGATATTTGCTGTGTAGATGAATTTCAGGGTGATACCTACAAAACCTTTCTTCCTACTTACTTTAATTGAAAGATAGTTATTTCCATGTTGTGATTTTGGTAAAGTTTTCAGGCTCTTTATGCTTTATTCTTGCTGATCCATCACTTAGATAAGAATATTCTGAAGTTGTAATTTAAAAATTTGCTACTTTATCATCAGGCCAAGAAGATGTTTAGCTCTAAACCATAATCATCCCCCCAGTATTCATGGTCTCTTCCCTTGTTAAGAAAGCACTTCCCACTAGATTACTGGGTTCTGCCAGCAGACCTGACTTAACCCTGTTTCGGGAATTGCAGCTCTTTACTTTCATTTCAAATGCTGATTTAGTTTAATGAGCAACTTAAGTAAATTATTCACTGTTGAAATTGACTGTGTCTTTCGTTTTTAGATGTAGTACAGTGAATAGCCGATTGGCAGCCTATGAAGTCCTTGTAATGCTGGCTGATAGCTCACCTTCAAATCTTCAAATTATTACAAAAGAACTACTTTCTATGCATCATCAACCTGATCCTGCTCTTACCAAGGAGTTTGATGTAAGTTCTCTAGATCTGGATGCACTTATTTTTTTTAGAATGATCTCTTAAACGCATTATTTGAAAATTATGTTTACATTATCCTAATCACAAAGAAAATCAATGTTATTCTTTTGCTTATCATGTTCACTTATTCAAGTCAGCTATCATCTGTAGTGTATTGCACTAATAGACTGTAATATATTACTAACTGATACCCTTTTAATTAAAAAAGATGAGACATTTTCAAGTCAGTTGATAATTACTCTCAGTAAAAAGTAACATTTCAACCTATTTTTTGAGAAATTCTTTCCTTGGCACAGTGCCAGGCATTAGAGTTACAAAGTAAAACAGATACTGGTTCTGTCACAGTACAGTTTGTGTTCAGTTAAATTCAACTAAGATTTATTGAGTTTACTATGTGCTAAGGGGTGTTGTTAGCTTTTGGAACTCAGAAGTGAAAATATAATCCCAGCCCTTAGAGGTATGTCCTGAATGCTCTATTAATAGAGAGGCACTTCGACACATGGTGGTGGTGTTTTAGAAGGCTTCTTAAAAATGATGAAGTTTAAAATAGAGCCCAAAAGGATAGTGAGCCAATTCCAAGGTCATTCCAGCCATGAGTAGCCGTGGAACAGCTTCGTTTGTGTCGGGATCTGCAAGAAGGAAGTGAGCTGCAGGTGCCCTGGACCTGTGGACCAGGAGTGAGAGGACACTTCGAAAGCATTCTCCATGAACATCATAGATAGGCTGTCATCCCTTCGGATGCCTGAGCTGAGTACTATGGAACATACAAATTAGATGGGAAAAGAATGAGAACAAGTGTTCCAGACAGAGGAATGGCACTTGCAAGGTGAAATTCGAGTGTGTAAATTGGAAACTATTTAGGTATGAACTGTTTAGTTTATAATGCTTGTTTTATGCTATGCTTTAGTTTTACATGCATTTATTTAATAATC